CCCTATTAAGCAGAACTAGTGGTCATTAAAAGTGAGAGTGAGGTTTCCTTGACTAGGTCACCATTTTACATATTTATGTGGTTTAATTGTCTTAGATTTTGAGTAGTATTAGTAAATTAGGCTTTCATGGCAGATACTGGTTCCTGAGTATTTGCTATGGGCTAGGTACTTCTAAAATTAGTAGGAGGCACAGATGTACGCAGCCCGTGAGTCCGTGATGATGGGAGGACATTTAATAGTGTCTGTTGTTTCAGACCCTAGAGCTGGTTTATGCCGAGTTGCTACTAAAATCCAGGCCTCCATCTCAACTGCCAGTGCTATGTTTTCTGATATTTGTCTGGTCCATCGGACAGTTTTGATCTCCTGGAAATTTGAGAAATCAAACCGTCAGTTTAATGAATGTAGATGAGAAATCATAGAAATGAAAAATTATGTCCGTATCTTTTCTCTAAATGGAGTGTTCTCCCTTCACCTCAGTTTGGTGTTTGGATGCTGAAATGTCAGCCATGTGAGAGGGGGCTTATGCATAACTCCTCAAATAAATACAATGAAAATTTGTGGATTGTCAGGCTGCCTCCTAAAGCAACTGTCCATACCAAGAAAGTTACCGTATCTGTGCTAGATTAGGGTAAAATAAATTTGAAAAAAAAAATCTTGCACATTTGAGTCCACTTCAGTCTTTGGAAGAAAAATTTATTTCATCCACTTGCTTTTCTCCTTTCTCTTCTGTTGCCTAGGATTAGGTTATTGTCTATTATTTACTCTCATTTTGGATAGAGGTGGCAACAGAACAGGGATGCTCATTTCGAATCTTGTTTCGCTCTTTGCTTTGCCGACTCAGTAGCCTCTAGGATAATGACCCCTTCTCCAGTCCATTGCAGTGTACATTTTGATAAGCTCACTACCCCTCTGGCTTTATTGTCCTCCTTTTATTTTCCAGTCTCTTGATTTCTTTTATTATTTACTTTATATATTTATTGTTGTTTATGGTGGAGAAAAGCACTTACTGGTTTTTTGCATTGACAGGACCTGTGTTGGCCATCTCTGCCATTAATTGTCATTTAAGCCTAAGCTTTCTCGTATAAAACTAGAGACCTGATTCACGAAATTCGTACAAGGGGCTTAGCTCCCTCGGTGGCAGCAGCTGACTCTGCCTCACCGTGGCTTCATCCGGAAGGTCATCTGGAAGGACATACGGTCTAATTAGCATATCACGCTTTTATTATTATAGATGGTTATACTATTAGTGCACTGAAGTGCTTAGCCCAGTGTCTGACACATATTTAAGCTCACTAAATGTTAGCTGCTGCTATTTTTTTTTTTGAGAGATGAACAGTTTAGGGAAAAGGAATAGAGGCACAGAAACACGGAGGTATACAAGTGTGTGTGCGATGTTCAGATATACCAATAGGGAGTAAGCAGTGACCAAGTGTAGGCCATGTGTGGGGCTTACATAAAGAGTGAGTCTGGGCAAGAACCGCTGGTATGCAGATGTGATGGGGGTGTGTATTGAATGCTGCTGAAACCTGCAACCTAGGCAGGGATTTAAAGAGAGGGAGTGAGTCAGGCAACTGTTGGTGTGGGGCATGCATCTGTCTTGACTTTCCAATAGAGTAGGCTGGTGGATCTCGAATACCTGTGTACATGAAAATTACTTGGGGACCTTGTTAAAAACACACTGTGTTTTTCCCCGACCCTGACCCTGTTCCCAGAGATCCAGATTCACTAGGTCTGCCTTGGACCCTAAGATGCTGCTCTTTGATGAGCACACCAGGTGATTCAGATGCACAGTGGTCCTCAGATGCACTTTGAGAGTGCTGGAATAGTTGTTGAGGGAATACATGCCAATGTACCGGCAGGTCTGATGACACTCAGTGGGAGGGAAGATAGAAACAAAAAACAAAGAAGTAGCATGTTTACATTCATTATGAGTTACAAATATCCATGTTCTAGCCTTGTGTTTTCTTGCTATAAATGATTGAGCACCAGTTATACAGATATAGTTTCAAAGATAAAATCTAATCAACAATCATATGATTGTTCTCTTAGGTTTTGGAGAGCTAGGAATTCCTCCCTATCTTCTAGATCTAGCCGGGGGGCAAGGGACAGCAAAACCTGTTAAAAAGAGAGCAGTAACAAGGAGGAAGGCACATAGCATGAGGTCAGGAAATGAGAAAGGTGGAAATGGGAAAGGATGGCAAAAGAGCAGAAAGATTTGATTGGTTGAGAATCTATTTGTAAAGGAACCCAGCCAGTATTTAACCTGTTTTGAAAAAACTAAACTTGCAGCATTTTTAATTAGTGGATTGCTCGATTTTAAAATTGCCCAATTGGGAATACTCAAGTTTTGATGTGTTTTATCTGCCTGCTAATTAGCAGACTGCATGGTTGACCATCATTTTCCCTTTATTTTTGTGGATAGAACATGTATATGAAGGTCTCTTGCAACACTACAGCTCAAGTCTGGATTAAAAATGCATGTCACTCTGCATTAGTAAGAGTTCGTACTAAATTATAAATCAAATTCTAGTCTATCTGTTCTCCAACTCAATTCTTTCTTTTTTGCTCTTTAATATGATTTTTCCTCTAGCACAAGACTTCTCTATCCTGGCACAATTGACATTTGGGACTAGAACATTTTTGTTGTGGGGGATTGTTCTGTGTATCCGTAGGATGCTTAGCAGCATCCTGGTTTCTACCGACTAGATGCCAGTACACCCTCTCCCCCCATCCCCCCGAAGCTGGGATGACTCAGAATCTATCTGGACATTGCCAGATGTCCTCTGGGGACCAGACTTGCCCCTGGTGGAGAACTGCTAGCCTGGCATTACTATGGTCTTATTTCCTCCTCTCTGCTTACTTTTTTTGTGGTGTTGTTAATCCTCACCCGAGTATATTTTTCCATTGATCTTTAGAGAGTGGAAGGGAGGGGGGGGG